GTTTGAGGCCAGTTTTCCGTGCAATAGAGCACTATATAGCTCCTACGGAGCAGAGTAGCGCAATCATTTGAACCTCGTGTTTTGCCGACAAGATGGCCGACAGAGCGGCTCGGCGCGAGTCACGTGGTACTCAGGGTTCCAAGAGGCGGCCCGCCCTATGGGAGAATACATGGAGATCAATACAACACGGCTGATTAAAAAATGAACGGCGAGTTCACACTTTTCAAAACTAGTCTGTCATGAAGTTAGTAAAGCACTAAACACTTTGTCGAAGTTTTAATAATATCGGATGCTTGTGCAAATTTTGAGAAGGCAATTTCCAAGGCAATGGCGTTTGAAGCAGACGATTTTTGCTCGCAGCGGAGATGGGCTTTTCGGGTTGGCCGGAGCGGGTCACGTGAATGGTATGACGTCGCCGTGTCGTCTGCTGCATGATGCCGCTCAAGCAATTTTTAAAAAAAAGTCAGGTTCTTGCGGGTCACAAAACTTAGCGCAAATTATTCTAAAATGTTCCATTATTATGTCAAAAATGATTGCCATTCCGTATATTCCCACAATACTGAAGAAACAACGATTTTCTCACGTTCTCCATGCATTTCTGACGGCAGTTAGAACCTCCGGGCGTTCGCCGCTAGTCGCCGAGAGGCGGCGTTCTAGATTGCGCTACTCTGCTCCGAAGCATAGAGTTATTATAATGTACGCTAGAGGTTCAAGTGGCGCTAGTGTGCTGCTGCAAATTGAAGCAGACAGCAACCAGTCGGAAATTGACTTCCGGTAATGCATTTCTATGGGGAAAAGCGAGTACATTTTCTCGCTGCGCTCGATTATAAGAGCAAATATCACGAATATTTCGCACGTACTGGCATATTGGAACATTTCTCAGTCACTCAGACGAAATAATTGGTCAGTTACAGCGTTTTTATTTGAAATTCGTAGCATGAAAAACGGTGCTAAAGCCGCTTCGTACATGTATTTATGTGCACTGTCGGACACTGTTAGCGCGAACACGGCATCGGCGCTTTCCACGATGGGGGATATACGTGTCAAACGAACGAAGGACATGTGAAAAACCAAGAGAGACGGCAAAAACTACGCAGTAACACTGGATAAGTAACTCCTTGTGCCTGCAGGCGATCAAAATAAATTGAAAGCCACGTAATATAGTTCGATCTGCAATAAATAAGTACTGCTTTATTCTTTCTGCTCATGAATATGTGCTAAGATGCATGTTCTCGGTTCAAATCATCAACCGCACGCTCCAAATCTTTGCAAATAGGGAGGAGTCAGAGAACAGGTGCCCGATAAGAACTGCCCGACATAGGAAATAATAAAAAGGCGCACCTTTCGTCCACGTACTTTATTTCTTACATTCAAATGTTTTTTAAACGATCGTAAAGATGCACGACGGAGTCATTTTCATAAAATGACAGAACGGGCATATTAGCAATATATATAAGCGCCACCGCAATGCTAGCGAACCTTGAACACACTCTACATTCTTTTCGATCGTTAGTTTGCTTAAAATCGTCGCTCGTTTTTACATACCTGCCATGGAACATAGGTTTGGGCCTGAAATATAGCGAAGCTTAACATCGCTCAGTGGTAAAGAAAAATGCTGTAATTAAAGCAATTATACTTTTACATTATTAATAAATGTGCATACTATCCGGTACAACCGAAATAATAAAAGTTATTTATGTTATTTTCCGGCGAAGAGACAAATTCCACGCGCGTTTTCCCATAGGAATGCACGGGAGCACCGCAAAAGTAGACTGGTTGCTGTCTGCTTCAATTTGCCTCCCGGAAGTCGCATAGACACTAGCGCCAGTTGAACCTCTAGCGTACATTATAATAACTCTATGCTCCGAAGGAGCTATATAGTGCTCTACCGTGCAACACTCTGTGAGTGCGATGCATTCTGGGAGAGAACTCGAACGGTGCCAGTGCGTGTGAAAGGTGTGAAACGAACTCGCTATTACCCAAATGAACCCGAGTTACTCCGGCGGGTCGTGTCACGTGACAAGACAGATTGAAGAACGCTGGACGAGGGTAGGTTTTGGGACGCCAAGGTACCTTGAAGTAAGATCAAGTAAATTTTGGAACATGGCCCATGTGACTTCCTCCCAGTCCGGTTTCGGTTTCGAGCAGTTGCATTTTTTGACTTTATTAAAATAATATGTGACGCTGTAGAAAAATATTGAGTGAGCAGTTTTCTGACACCATATTAGATCGCCTGACAAAAAAATACAAAATAAATTTTGTAGATGTCAGAGTCCCTATAAAAAAAGCAAAAAAAACAAACATATATTTCACTTTCTACATTAGGTAGCGCAAGCTACCGCCCATTAAAAAGGAAGAGCCACCAACATTGATTAACATATCTATCTGAACTTCTGAAGCAAGGAAGCAAGTCCGAAGCAATCCAGAGCTAAATACCAGCAGCGCCAGCCAGTGGCGCCAGCAGTCAACCAAGCCATTGTTTACGTTTTTGTGTTGACTCGTGAACTCGGCGCTGGTTTGTGTTGTCATTCTTGTGTTGTTGTTACGTTGCACCTGCCCGGTTTTAGAGCGTAAAGGCGCCTTGTTTCCTACACTTCTCATTGCGAGGGCCCTGCGTGTCTCAAGGTAAGCGCCTAGCCCGCCCCAGTATATTTCTTGCAGATGTATCGCCCGCTTTTTTTCTTTTTTACTCTCCCGCCGCGCTGTGTGACCTAAGCGCACGTGGCAAGCTTCTCAGCGTTCTGTCGCTTCCTGCGAATGGCGCGAGAGTAGGGACAGCTCTTTGACTCGGGCAGTGCTGCATGCGTAATGCGAAGCAACGGAAACCGGGGCTAGCGCACACGAGATCGGAGCACGTGGACCGAAAGCTCGCGCTGCAGAACCCAGGGATGCTGGATTCAATCCCCTCCCCTGCCCGCTTCGATCTGGATGAGCACCGTACCGGCGTGCGGTCGTGTATCACTACTGCGTGGTGCACGTTGAAGACCTCAGGCTAGCGGTTGTACCGCACTGGCTGAATTGCTCATCTACAGCTGAGACACCAGACGCCCACTGAGGCAGACTAACTTCCGGCTGTATAAACATAAAACAATTTGCTTTGCTTTGTGCAAAAAGACCAGGACAAAAGGGGGACAAATAAAGGGTGCTGATTCTGTAGTACCTCGGGAGTTAAGAATGGCACTAGAGCCGCAGTGAGGACGGGAACTGCGGGGCGTCTCTTTGGGTACCCTACCTCCATTACATGCTTGTTGGCTATGGCCTAGCTTTGGCTGGGCGTGTCGGCTCGAGGTAGGAAGGTTGTGCTGCAAGCAGGGCAACCAAGGCACCCTGCCGTGCTATGTACAGACCGTTGCCCGAAATCCTAGCCCCCCAGCAATAAAAATGGGAGATAATAATCTAATGCAGGCTTTTGTGAAGAGGGGTCTGTGCATAAACCAAGATTTGCACTTTTTACAGCACTCTCTACATCAGTGTTGTCATTGGAGCTTCGCTTAGCATTTCTGACCTTTTTGCACCGCGATATTTGCGAAGGTTTGTAAAAAAGAAGTATCGCCACAAGCGCAGTTCCCAACTGTGTCGTGGCATCAGCATAAAGAAGCATGGCGGCACCCATTAAACAGAGCAAAGACTGGTCTATACATACCCTGCACCTACGTCACATGATGACGTCGAACACAGGTAATTACCATGCTTGTGGTTGAGTCGATGGCCATTTAGAGTGAGCGCCATGGTAAACTGCGCCGCGGTCAGCTGTATTGCTTTGTATCCTGACAATCCTTTTGCCGCCATTGGGGCGTTCTAGAAATGCCGACCAGTACACCCTAGGCGTGCCCTGTGACAGTAGCCGTCGAGTTGGAGAAAGTACAAGTGGCACGGAATGGATGCGGTTGGAGCATTAGTGAGTTAGCAGGACGCATCTCCTAGTGGCGAGAGTCGGCACTTTTCTGCCGTTGTTTATGTCCGTGCATGCCTTTGCATTGGCTTTGCCTGTTCGTGATGTAGATGCCCGTTGCCTTTCATTTTTATCACGCTTTCAGCGCACCTTCGGGACTTCTTGCCGAGTTCGAGCGAAAGCGTCGCACCCCGAGCCCGGCCAGACGGCGATTGGTTGGCGGCGGCCCCCAGTGAGCACGCTTGCCGAGACGCCACCGCCGGTGCATCGTCTTGTGCCGTCTGCGTCACGGTAAGCTCTTTGAGGAGCGAAAGTATGCAGGTGAGCTGGTTAGGAAACATTATAATCTAAGACGGGAGTCGTGTTATCTGTTACTTCATTCCTCCTAGGCTCAGGATTTAGGTTAAGACAGTAACATTTTTTTTTTTTTTTTCAGTACTTCTCAAAATTGTGACAATTTTACTACAAGAGCTGCTTGTCATGCAGTAGAGCTTTTTTTTTGCTGACGCTTCAAAACTTTTTTTGGCTACATATCAAAACTTTCTGCTTGTAGCGCAATAGACCCTTTCCGAAATTCAGTGCCATCTGGTGGTTTGTAAAACAGCTTAGGTTTTGCCATATCAATGGCGGAACTGAACTTGTATCGGCACCACCACTTTCGTAAGTCAATGGCACGCGAGGAATTGTCCAGTGTGAGTTCTTTCTCGATCACTTTCAGTTCGATGATGACCAAAAGCCTGCATTCAGAACAAAGCTACAACCAACTCAGACGCCTCGAGAAAATTATATACACCAAAGTGCTTTAAAGCCGATTGTGTGCCGCCCACAGATAGACTAAATCTGAGTTATTAGAAATAAACGCTTACGTAGCTCTTGTGTTCCATTCCGACGTCGCGTCGTACTGACCCCCCGAATGTACAGGCCTCGCAAGATCCGCTTAGGAGCATCTTCAACGTCTTCCTTTATCAGTCACTAACCCCCGAATTCATAGATGTGACTTGCTCTGAAGTCGAGCTTCAACTTGCTCAAGTCCGTCTTGCGACGAGCAAGCGCGCTTCATAAACGCACCTTAACTTGAACCGATCTTGAACGGAGCTTGAAGCGAACTTGAAGTGCCCAAATTTCAAGACTGGGTTGGACCTATCTTGAACGCGACTTCGTAGTCGTTTCAACATGGCGGCTTGGCGAAGCGACGTCGCCGAGAGGATCTCCGCCTTCGAATTCGCAACTCGCGCGTGCGATGTCGTCTTCGGGGACGCGTTCCCTTTGCCACGAGTCCCGCGACCATCAATTCGGGATAGGGAGAACCCAATGGAGCGCTACAACGACGGGCAGTTCCTGGCGCGGTACCGCTTTACGAAGGGAACCGTGCGAGAGCTGCTCGGGATGCTGCCGCTACAAACGAGCACCGACTGCAGAGGCCTTCCGCTGACCCCCATGCTGCAACTGCTGGTCACGCTGCGGTTTTATGGTGCCGGGACCTTCCAGGTTGTGACTGGGGACCTCGTGAACGTGTCCCAACCGACAGTGTGCCGCGCGGTCGGAGTAGTTACGCAGCTGATCGCGAGGCACTTGTTCCGGGACCTCGTTCACTTTCCCAGCGCCGCCCAATTCAACACGGTGATGCTCGATTTCTTCGCACTTGCGAAATTCCCCGGCGTCACCGGGTGCATCGACTGCACCCACGTGCGAATCAAGAGCCCCGGCGGCGACGACGCGGAGGTGTTCCGCAACCGCAAGGGAGTGTTCTCAATCAACGTCCAGGTAACGAGTGCAGAGTTCGCGGTTTACCGAATTTAGAGTTTAAAGAGCAACGCTAGCGCGATCGCGAGATGTTATTCATTGGAGTATGCGCTCATGTTCGACTGCATGAAATTTGGAAATTCTGCCCCAAGCATTGTAGTCAAAGCCCTCTCGTCTTTGCTTCGCTATATGCAGTGGTTGAGCTGCTGCGCCAAACTGAGCCAGAATGAATAACCTGCTACATGTTGCTCTAAAGCGTCTGGCACATGACATGGTTGGCGATGCCACTGAAAATTAAGAAAGTACAGATTTTTTTCCCCTTGATGCTATGTGCAAAAGTAGGGCTGCACGAATTCTATGTGCAAAAAGTAGGGCTGCACGAATATTCTAATTTTCTAATAGTAGTTCAAATAATACGTTATTTGATATTCGCTTCCAAATGAACTGCAATATTCATACTTTTCGAAGCTTACAATGTTCATATTGACATTGTCAGAACACATCACTTGAGCAGTTTTTGTAATGAAAATATTTGTCGAGTATTACGACAGCTTCATTCGATGGGACCATTGCCACTAATTTTTCTTACTCATGTCTCCATGTTTCATTTCAACGCAATCTACTTGCAGGCTGTCACCGGCCCCCAGCTGCAATTTTACGATGTGGTTGTGAGCTGGCCCGGGTCGGTGCACGACAGCCGGATTTTCGATAACTCCCGTGTCCGGGTGCTGTACGAGGAACGCCGGGTGCCAGGGGTGCTGCTTGGGGACATGGGCTACGCCTGCTTCTTCTTCCTGATGACCCCCCTGGCAGATCCCGGTCCAGCTAACACACCACGAGGCAGGCAAGTAAATCCTACAAGTGCCTGAGCAAATGTAGGGCTATGTGTGGAGACAAGGAAAATACATAATGACAAATACACAGCGCAAAAGGACAAAAAGGGAAGAGACACAGCGGATAGAACAGCGCTCTGTTCTATCCGGTGTGTCTCTTCCCTTTTTGTCCTTTTGCGCTGTGTATTTGTCATTATGTATAACCAGAATCAACTAGCCCAACTTTCTACTTTATTAAAGACAAGGAAAACATTATATACAAACGTGGAACGTAAGACTACTGAACTTGTGCACTAGTTGCGATGGTTAAATAATGTACGAACAAAATAAGTAAGATACTGGGTGTGACAACGTTAGCCCCGAAAATATCTGCCCTTATTGAGGATTATAGTCACTGACACAATGAGAACTGCAGGGAGTCTTTCTGCCCTGCCTCCAGAGCACGCTCAATGCCTTCTCGCATGCTTTGGCTGCACATGCATGCACGAAGTGCACAAGATGACAATGTGTTACCGAATGTATGATGCTGATGCTGGAGGCGGGACAAGTGAAGCTTCTCCTGCTTGTCATTGTCTGCGGCTAGTGCGTTGTGCTGGAGCATTTTGAAATCGAGCTACTCGGGAGAAAGATATGAAAGGGATCTTCAGGCAATATTATAGTTTAATTAGCCACTCATGATATTCCCTCACATGATCAGGTACCAGAAGGCCCACATCAAGACGAGAAACTCTGTCGAAAGGGCCTTTGGCATCTGGAAGCGGCGCTTCCCCTGCCTCGACATGAGGCTGCAGCACAAGCCACGTCGGGCGGTGCAGATCATCACAGCCTGCGCTGCACTCCACAACCTGGCCTGCCTGAGAAAGGACCCACAGCCTCCACCTCCCCCAGCTCCGCCAGTTGTGCCTAGGGCACGGAGACCCAGGAGGAGGGCCACACGGCCAGTCCACCTGCCACCCGCCGTGGACACCGTGGAGGACTCCCTCACGGGCATACAGAAACGGGAGCAAATCATCGAAAGAAGCTTCAAGTAGAAACTTCTTTCGAAGTGGAAGCTCCCTTCTGCAATGACTGATCGAGCTTTGCCTTAAAGGGGCGGTGGAACAATATTCAGTTATGTTTTTCACTTTACACAAGCTTACTGGCACTAGAGGAACCCTAGTATACTTAAATGCAATGCCGCTGACCAAGAAACATTTTTTGTTGCAGTGTAATTTCAGATAAAAGCAACCATTTTCTTTCAATCACTCCTACACAAACGCTCAGGGGTCGCATTGTCGGTGTAGTCCCCCCTCAGAGCGACAATATTTGAATGCGGCTCACAGATTGGACCTTATAGTATTGCGTGAGCACTCGATTTGGGCATGTGATAACAGCTTGGCAATCATTCAGGTAGTGGCTCGTGTCCAAGTGCTGCAACGATGACAACAGCCAAACCAACAATGTCTGCGATTCGGCGCGTGTCCTGTACTATGATTAACATTGGTGCCATATAATCGTCTCCAAATCACTTGGCCACTTTTTCTGGCTGCAAGTTAAAGGGGGAAACTCTGCCATTTATTCCATTTTTTTCTTCGGCGTTTTTTATTGCGCGGGTTTAAAAACACAAGCGTGTTTCATAGCTCATAAACTTTGGGGATTTGTTTTACGCAGTATCTGCACGAAGTACGAAAAATTGTTCCATCGCCCCTTTAAAGCTTTTGTCGTGAAAGTGGCTTTTTTTCATTGTACTGGAGTAAATAGCACAGCGTCCAATGAAACTGTCCTATAAGCATCGTCTGGAGGTATGTTCATATGTTAATAAGTTTTTTTTTTTTTGTGTGTGTATTTCGCAAATGCCTTTACTGTTTTTTCTATTCCTGTTTATTCACCAATAAAAATGTGAAAATATTGCCAAACCCTTTGCTGTAGTGACTGTGCAGTGGCTTTTTACTAGTCCAAATGATAATAGATGAAGGGCAGGAGCCATTATGTAATTATGCATTTTCTCAAAGCATGCCTAATGTGAAACAAGCTGAAATCGCACCCTATCCTTTTCTGGATATAGCCCCAGCTTTCAACTTCTGTGAAATAAATTAGATCCCTTCAACAGTCGAGGCATTGGCACTTTTTTTTTATTTTTCGCCTCCCTGCTGAAGCTCTCTGAGCTTCCACTCCGCAATTTTCAAGTTCGTCTGCTCCACCTGGAGCCGCACGCGGTGCTCTGCCACCTTCATCTGGTGCTCTGCCACCTTCATCTGCTGCTCCTCTTCAAGGAGCTTGATTCGAATGGCAGACTCTGCCCTCAGCAGAGAACTTCGTACGTCGTTTTCTGCTGCGAGAGCCTGCTCTAAGAGCATCATTCTCCCTCTGGCCGGCCTGCCTTCATCCTGAGTCGCCGCCACCCTGTCGCTGCTGCAGCTTGAAGCAGCTGCAGGAGCAGGTACGGTCTGCTCGGTGGGGGGACCCGGGTCTGCTCCTGTAGCTGCTGTGACACTGGCGCTTGCCTCTGGCTCGGCGACGTCCATAGAAGGGCTGCCAGGTAGGTAGTTGTCCCCTGTCACAAGATGGGTAAACCGATATCTGGATTACAAGCCGTTAGCACGAGGTACAATGTTTATAAATTGCACGGCATGAAATGCACTGCAGGTCACATTGCCCCTGGTTGTACCGTTACGACTGCTGCACTCGGGCGACGTCTAGATCTCCTCGGGCCTCTCGAAGGTTGTCAGAGAAGCTAGCTGTAGTCGCATTTCGCATTCCCGGAGACTTATCTTTTTTGCTTTGCAGAGTTCGAAAACGAAATCCCCTCTAAGTGAGATAGCGGCCCCAGAATCCAAAAGTGCAGCAAAAGGAAAACCGAGCAAAGTGATCGTCATGCACGGTTCAATGATGATAGGCTCGGGCTGGATTCGACATTCCGATGGAATCTGTGCTGCGGCCTCACTGCCGCAGCACCGGGACTGTAACGGCTTTCAGCCAGTGGCTGTTTGGTTTCAACGTTAGCGGCCGTGGTAGTTTCCCTGGATGTTCTGGTTCCAGCCCTTTGCTGCCGTCAGCTGTATTCAAATTAAACTGCGACAACTGGAACTGCAGGTCACGGTGCCCCTAGTTGTACCGTTACGACTGCTGCACTCGGGCGACGTCTAGATTTTCTCAAGCCTCTCGAAGGTCAGAGAAGCTAGCTGTAGTCGAATTTCGCATTCCCGGAGACTTATCTTTCTTGCTTTGCAGAGTTCGAAAACGAAATCCCCTCTAGGTGAGATAGCGGCCCCAGAATCCAAAAGTGCAGCAAAAGGAAAACTGAGCAAAGTGATCGTCATGCACGGTTCAATGATGATAGGCTCGGGCTGGATTTGACATTCCGATGGAATCTGTGCTGCGGCCTCACTGCCGCAGCATCGGGACTGTAACGGCTTTCAGCCAGTGGCTGTCTGGTTTCAGCGTTGGCGGCCGTGGTAGTTTCCCTGGTTGTTCTGGTTCCAGCCCCTTTCCCGCCGTCTCGTGCCACCTCTTGTTTGTAGTGTCCAGAAGTCTTGGACACTAGTTTCGTTGGTGGTCGGGCTGCTCGCACCTGTAGCAGCAGTCCGACAACAGTTGCCTGCTTAGGTCACCCACACCGAGGTGCCCGCCTCCAGTGATCTGGTAAAGAACCACTATGGGAAGGCCTCTACCAGGCTTGCGATTAGCTGTTGTGGGGAGGGCTTGTTCCGTTGCGGCGGGGGTCAATGCTGCTTTGCTGCGGGATTTCGACCGCAGCGTGCCAGTTTTCCCCAGCACTTGCAGGAGCACACTGATACAAATGGTTCGCTTGGGTAGTGATCTCCGTTGGGCCCCAACTTGCGATAGGGCACGGCCAACGACCTCCCACCTGTCGTGGCGACCCCCGCCCGAGATCCTCACAGGCACTGCTGTGACCTCCAGGGACCTCTCGATGAGAGTTAGTCGAACGCCATACATGTCACGCCAACTCTCCCGGTTGATGTGGTGGGGAAGAGAGGTCTCATTCGAACAGTCCACTTCCGTGGAGGCCTCGGGGCATGCTGATTTGAGTGCGTACTTGGCTGGTGGCGGCAGCACGTAGTTCCGCTCAGCATGAAGAGCTTCCTCGATGAGGCAGGCGTGGTATCTTGGGTGGCACAGTCTTCTGACCCGAGCTACTCTGTCCGACTCCGGTGTACTCGGGTCCGCCCTCTTGAAGAGCTCTTGCATGACCTGAACGTACCGGTCCTGACTTTCGTCCAAGTGCTGCGGCCTTGCCTCGAGCTCTCGGAGAATCTGCGTTGCGTAGTCCACAGGCAGGAACTCTTCTCGAAGCCTTGTCTGGCTCGTGAACGGGGCCTGCAACCCCAACCAGCTTCTAGCACTGGCTTGCAACACCAGCGGGACAATGCGGTCCATGATGAAGGCTTACGAGGCACCGTAGGCAAGGTGGTACGTCTGCAACTCCCCCAGGAAGTCTGCCACGGACTTAACGTCGTCGTACCCCACGTAGACTGGTACAGTCAAGTGTGGTCGGGGCTCTTGCGGCGGGGTCTCCTGCTGGCCAGGCGTGAGGGCCATGCGCTGCATCACGAAGTTGCATATCACCGCGACCTTTTGAGCAGGTTCATTTGTGCCGCTGCGGCCACTGCAGCTTCCTGCTCCCGTGTGAGCATGGCTGCAAGCACAGAAAAAGAAACGCCGCCCAGAAACCAACACAAGCGTGCGAAACTATTGCCGCAGTCACAAAACGAACGGTCAAAAACAAACCAATACAACAAACGCGGACGTGACCGAAGCACGGGACGGTAGGAAACACGGGGAGTGGAAAAAGGCTTACCAAAAGAAGAAACCAAGCCTCGTGAAATTTCTGCGAGTGAGTAGCATACCACGCTTGGGCGCCATTGTGGCCGGTTAATTTGTGCAACATTACCACAAAGCTATTGGGCAGGAGATCGAACTATAGGGGGCGCTCTGACCCGTTTGTTTTCCCCACGCTTGGTGTTTACTCAACACAAGGCCTGTGCACACGCCGACAGGCCTTATGGGCATGGCCATGTCATCTTCTACAATAGAGCGCGGGGCGCAGTTTAATGTAAAAAATACTAACAATCGACGAAGCGACGTTAAGTGCCGGATCTATCCTCGGAGAATGCGAGCTTGACCCACTTCGGCTTTTGTGCTGAGCTGGGATCGTGCATGCTGCATTGTTCATGCAGGCCGTAGTGGAAACAAAACAGCCCCTCCTCCCCCTTGCCGGAGAACACGAACTCCAGCCGAACGCTGACGCCGCGTTCGGTTATGTCGGCCGAACGCTGCGTCATTGTATTTGTTGTCCCCATCCGTGTAGTTGCTAGGTTAACCGCTTGGGGCGTCACGGTCTGTCCTCCTCCCCAATAGAATGGATTCTGTGTTACCAATCCCTTGTGAGGTGCACACTGTGATGGGGGGGGAACCAAGGATGATAAGAACGACATACATGAAAACTGTGAGTTGGACTGAGCAAAAAATGAGAAAGAAGACGCAGTGAACAAGGTGAAGGTGTGAGTAACTAGAAGACGAAGGCAGCAAGGCCAAAGCAAGAGATGGATATAATGAAAAAGGAAGACGTGATGAGAGGAAGATGACACAGGCTTGTGATACGTGAAAAAAGGGCGGGCACGACACGGAACCCGGCTCGACAGCAGTGGTCCTGGCAGCCAAGGAAGAGCCCGGACAGACAAATCCAGGCCCGTGGGGCTGTTAACCAAGCTTGCTGGGAAACATCCGCTTGTGCCAAGCGAGCCTGCCAACTCCATGCCAATGCCGACGTGCAACACCGTGCCGTAAGCGGATTTGCCGAACTGAACTTTGCTTATATATCTACACCGCTTTATTTCTTACTTTTTTTTCTTACGACTGTAAATATCTTCCGTCTTATCTTCACCGTTCTGGAATTCTGAGTCCCTTTATTTATATTTTTCCATCCCACGCAACCTACAAGTGGCCTAAAGTGCAGATCGATGTGTCTCAACACTGTACCTGCATACTCGTACACTGGGTCGCAGTCGACCATGCCCTCCAGCAGCCGCACCACTGGCTCGTTCTGGACAGGGGGCAGATAGGCGGCTCCGTCGGAGTCGTTATCGTTGTCAAGGCGGGTGGCCATGTGCCCCGCTACTGCCCCCACAAGCACAGAAATTGCGCTCATGGGTGTGGGGGGCGGCCCCCCTCCTAAGGAACAATCGTGTATGTCAAGTCACTTGATTAAAGCAGTCGAGATATAGGGGCATACTGAATATTCTAAAGAAACACTCCTGTACATAGACGAGGCTGGGACGTTTTAGCACGATATTTTTGTGACACGGGGAAAAAAATAGAAAGGTAGGTTGATCAATAAGGCAATAACGCCGTAAGAGTAAACTGCAACAATGCCATATTATGCCATTTCGCATGCAGAACAACTATTTCCCCTACGGAAGATATGTCGACATCTGCTGTGTGCCTCAGTACAACATAGCTAAAGTGGATCTAAACGGGAGCGGGATAATCCACGGCACTCGGAACATTGCGCATATCACGATCTTTCTATATACTGAACTGAAGAAAATGCGGAATGACACACGCTGACAAAAAAAAAAAAAAGCGCGAAAAGGTTTCCCAATATGATCTTTCGCCAATCGCAAATGCTAGGTTAGATCGATCACTCCGAGTAACATGGACGAGCAGGGACAGAACACTCACCTGTCTTGTGGGTCTTGCGCTTCTCGTCCGAGCGCTCGTTCTTCCACTTTTGTTTGAGGTTCCCCCAACACTTCTTGAGCTGATTAGAGTCCCGTGGACTAACGCCCGGTAAGCAGTTATACTCATTGCAGAGTTTCTCCCAGGTCTCGTTTTTGAGGTTCGAAGATACGGAGTCTGTCTTTTTGCATTCAATGATCGTTTTATGCTTGCCGACAAGCCCCGATAGAATAGATATTTCATCAGCGGTGAAGCGCGGCGATTGTTTTTTTTTAGTGGCCATTCCACTGCTGCTCAAGGGTTGGGGGAATCTCAAAAGTTTTACCGTTTAACAGAAGAAAACTTGCACAGAA